AAATATGTCCTGGATCCAGGGTTCGGTCTCGGTCTCTACTTGACAGCGCTATTGTAAGGCATGGGGTGAGTGGTTGGAATTTGAGAGGCAGGTCTGAGTTTTTCATTTGAATGGAGAGAGTTTGCAAGGTTTGTTACAGTTAATTTAGTTCTGGGAAGCATTTGTCAAGGGATCAGTTTTTGGTTCAAACGGATATTACCAAGGATGTTTTGGTTTTGTTGGTTTTGAGGGGTTGGCGTAAGGGGCCCAAGATTTAGGATTCTCGGAGGCCAGTTTTGGGTGCTCTTACTGTTTACTGTTCTGCCACAGGTTTCTTCTTCTCAATTTGAAGTGGTGCTGTTTCGGGTGGCATTAGCTTTTGCCTTTTTCAGGGCCATGTGGGTGGGGGAGTTTGGTAGCACATCCAAGGCTGTTCCCGGGGGATTGTTGTTTGGGGATGTTTAAGTGAGGTTTGGGCGGTGCGTTTTTTCCTGCGTAAGTCCAAAATGGACTTTTGTGGCTGGGGCACTTGGGTCCCAATGCGGCATGTCCCAGGATTGATGGTTTGTCCACTGGCATATTTTCAGGCTTTCTGCAAAGTTCACCCAGCAGGCGGGATGCGGGTCCATTGTTGGTTCACAGAGATGCCAGCTTCTTATCTCAATTCTAATTTATCAGGGTTTTCTACATGGCTTTGAAGATATTGGGGATGCCTAGTGCAGAGTTTGGGGGGCAAAGGGGTGGGCTAGTTTTACGGTACACCCCGGTATAAGAGTCGTTAATACCGCTGAGGACGTTCCCTTTCCGAATGAAGAAGCAGCTAACAGCAGTTCCAATTAGCCGAACATCAACCATACGAAATCCTTCACTAACCAAACAGCCGAAAGAGTAATCCTACAAATCCAATACCCCCAAGTACGAAACCAAGCTCCGTATTGAGGGTTAAGCAGAGATCTGGTTTATTAAGGGCTACCTGCCCAGTATTTATGCAGGTCTCCCACCTGGTGGACACTCCCTTAGAGGACCAGATGGAAGACTGGGACAATATGGATACAGTAGCCAATCACAGTGGCACAAGCATAAACACTCCCCTTTGGTGTAGATAACATAGAAACATAGAATGTGACGGCAGATAAGAACCATTTGGCCCGTATAGTATGCCCAATTTTCTAAATACTTTCATTGAAATGTTCGCACCAATCAATTAGAATGTTGGCAACTTGCAACATAAGTGTGAAACCTCAAGTAAAGTAATTAATGAGTGCTTCCCTGGGTGGCCAGGGGGAGCATTTGGGTCTAGAAAGGGGCCACTTCCCTTGCCTGGCAAGAGGAGGACCCGGGGAGGGGACATTGTCATTGTGTGTGTTCCACCCCTTTGTGGAGAAAGTATAAAGCCGAGTGTGGCCAATAAAGTTTTGCTGTACCCCTGGAACTGTGTGTCGTCCAGTTACTGCAGGGGAGGGAGGATGGATCTCTTCATTCTGTATTATCTGAGGTAACCAGTCTGGTTACCCACGGGCCGCTACACTTGTAATACCATATATATATATATATATATATATATATATATATATATAACATCATTGTACCCTATTCTTGGCAGGTCATACTCTGCCAAGAACGGGGTGCATTAACATTGTGGCAGGCTTATGCAATATATGATCATATATTGTAACTAAGCCTTTATTATTTTTGCCTAGGTGAGGGTTTTTTTTAAATAAAACTATTAAATTGAAATTGCTGTTTAGTGAATGAATGAGTGTATGTTGCATGCATTGGCCCCCACAACTCTTATGGACAGCACTCTCAGATGTCCCAGATAGAATCAATGGAAGTCACTCCCTAACTTGGGGTTAACAGCCCCGAGTGTTCTTATCAGAACTGCAACTATTACTTAAGTTTTCACATCTTTTCTAGATCTTCTTTCAGTCCCTGGTATTTGTACATTTTCTCATCTTCCTTCTTCCTGGTGTTATAGTCACTGGGTATTGCCAAATCCTCCAAGACTCCAGTCTTCTGTTACTTGACTACCGCCATGAAGTCAGGTTGGTTGGCCAGGACTTGCTTGTCTGTCTGGATCTGGAAGTCCCAAAGGATCTTAGTCCCATCATTCGCAATTACCCTTTGTGGTATCTCCTATCTGGACTTAGGTAGGTCCAGCCCATATTCTGTGCAGATGTCTCGGTACACAATCCCAGTAATTT